GAATTGATTACATTAAATTAATATATATGAGTTACATGATGAAATATATAATATTCCTTAATAATTTTTAAATCATAATAGCATTTTGAATATCTCTTGATTTGGCTATAATATTCTATGTGTAATCTTTAGTTCTTCCATCTTATTCTTCATGGCTTCAAAATCTTAAGGTTTTCTCACCTTAACACCAACCAAAGCAGGTCCCTTTTCTCTATTGTTTTTTCTTGTATATTCCAAATTGGTGATTTCATCAGTAGGACCTTAATAATATTTTATATATGATACCCAAACACTGAATTAAAAATTATTTTAATGCTCCTGGCTTTTAGAAAAAGTTGACAAACATATAATATTACAATCCTTAATGAATCTCTGACAACATTCTAATATCTGTCATTCTTCCTAAATCGTTATTACTTCCAGAAATCAAGCAAACTACTGTCTTACCTTTAATTTGTTCTTTGAATTTATCAAGAGCACTAATTGCTAAGGCACCTGCTGGTTCAACTAAAATGCCTTCCTCATTAAACAACTTCATCATTGTAGTACACACATGACCTTCTGGTATCAAAACCACTTCTTTTAATACAGAATTCAAAATTTCGAATGGTTTTGCACCAGACTTTTTGATTGCTGCACCATCAACAAATGTATTTATACTTTCCAATTCAACTACTTACTATTACTTAATGGCTTCATACATTGAAGGAGATCTTAATACATATATACGTAAATAAATACCCTTCAGGTTCAACACCAATTAAAATAGTCTAAGGACTGACTTATTTAAAATATGAGGATATTCCAGCTCCACATCCTCCTCCCCCTACTGGAAAGAACATAAAATCTACTTAATCTTCATTTATATCTTCCAAAATCTCAACTGCTATTGTTCCTTATCCTTCTATAATCTTTTCATCATCAAATGCATGAACATATATCCCATTTTCAGCACTGCATTTATCTCTACTTGCTCGAAAACTCTCATCAAATGTATCCCCCACTAATTCAATTTGGGCATATTATTTTCCCCAAGATCTTCAAATTTTTTAATTTTAATTACTTAACAGCATTAAACTTAATACTTGGAGTATTAGTAGGCATGTATATTATGCAATTAATTTTCATTAGATTACAAACATAAGCTACACCTTGTGCATGATTACCTGCACTAGCACAAAACACTGTTCTATGTCTCTCATTTTCAGGAATTGAAATTATCTTATTATAAGCTCCTCTTAATTTATAGCTTCTTACAATTTATAAATCTTCCTAAAGTTAATTATTTTCATACTCTTTTTATATAAACATTTGCTCCAAAATATTCAGAGAGTTTAATTGATTTTTATGTTGGTGTTCTGGTTACTACTTTCATTAATCGTTTATAAGCACCATAGATTTAAGACACAGGAATCAATTTTGATAAATTAGGAGGATGATTATAATTTGTGACATCCAATTATATAGTTTATTACTATGTGTTTTCTTCATTATTAGAATGAATATGATGAACTTTCTTTTCAGGAGTATCAAAGGAATCATTCTTAGCTAGATTTAATGATGAGTGAGCCTTTTTTTAAATATGCATAAATTCTTAAAAAATAAATATTATTAATTATTGATATAAATATTACAATAATTATTATTTTAATAATGAGAAATTCTGACGATTACGATTATCAATACAAAATAGTTATAATAGGGGATTCAGGAGTTGGTAAAACCAATATCATGACTTAATTCACAAGAGGAGAATTCTCAGAAGAAACTAAAACTACAGTTGGTGTAATAAATCATGATTTCTTAGGTGGAATTTGCCAATAAATAACTTGTTATAGATGATAAAATCATAAAAGCATAATTATGGGATACAGCTGGATAGGTAAATAGTTCTATTAACTTCAGGAACGTTATCGAGCCATCATCTCATCCTATTATAAAGGAGCATCAGGAGCATTAATTGTCTTTGATATAACTAAATAATCTACATTTGATAATGTCGATCGTTGGATGAAGGTAATTTCCTATTAATCAAAATGTAGGAAGTTCAAGAAAGTACTTCAAATGAAATATCAGTCATTTTGGTTGGGAACAAATCAGATCTCAGACACTTAAGATAAATCTCTTCAGATGTTTCATCTGCCTATGCTTCTAAACATAAAATTGCCTTTCTGGAAACTAGTGCTAAAGATGGTGCTAATGTTCATGAGGCATTTAACAAACTCATTAATGGTAAGAATTTCATTCTCTATATAGAAATTCATTCTAAAAATAAAAATAACTCTATCTATACTCAAAAGAAAACTAATTAATAAATTACAGAAGCAGTCCAAATAGATAATTAAAAGGATTCTGGTTGCTGTTGATGAATATCATCTATTATAATTATGTTATTTATTTTATTCTTGCTAATTAATTAATATGGAATGGATGATAAATCTAATTAAAAATTTAATAATTTTATGTTCTGAGTTTTATAATTTATTCAAATCATTATATTTAAATCAATTTTATCCTTTATTTACATTCTATCAAAACAAATACAATTATAAAGTTCAAATTTAAGAATCTTAATAAAATTGAAAAATCATAGTTTTAAACTTAGGAAATAAACTATAAATCTAAATAAGTCTGAACAGGTTAATTAATTAAATTTGTTTACGATTAAATTATAAAGTAAGGAAAAACTCTTAAACTCATCTAATTATCTATTTAATTCATGAATAGATTAAAAAAGTGCAATTTCATAAAGGAAAGAATTTCTTAACTCTGATTTTCTACAAAAAAGACGTTATTGTGATCGTAACAAAAAATGAAGATACTTTGAATCTTATGCTTTACAAGCCTTATTGCTAATTCTATTAATAGATTATTTTAAAATGGATAAATCTCTTCTTTTTTGAAAATTTTGATTGACATTTAAATTTTACGATCTCATTAAATTTGATTTTTCCTTCTTATTCTAAATTTATTATAACTTAATTTCTTCTTTTCTGAAATCAATCTAGTTACTCATTAAATCTTGATACTTAAAATTTCGTATCATTTTCTTTGATTTTTTTATTCATTTTATATGATATTTTTTAAATTTATCTGCATATGTAAATTATTATAAAATAGGTTTAGGTATTTTTTATTGAGAATAAAATTAAAAAATATTTTCAAAATTAATTATTTAACTTAATTTTTAACCTGCACAATGACTGCTTTTAATAATATAGCTTACTTAAATATTTTTTTCAGTTAGACTATTGTATAATCTTGGTTACTAAATAATTTTGGTTGATACATTTATGACGATTTGAAGGGTAGAAAGCTTTTAAAATCAAAGATTTCTGAATAGTTTTTTAATTAAATATTTGAATTTATTTTAATTCTTTCTTTGTTCTCTAAAATTATCCAAAATTATTTTTGATTAAATTGTTTATAATATAATTATTTTAACCAGATCATAAAATAATCGGAGAAATTAAATAGTAAAATTTCCTAAATATAAATGATGGAATATGTGTTGGGTTTTAAAAAATAGTAAGTATTAGATACACATTAAGAGGAAGGCTTTTCAATATTGATTTTATTTAATTTATATTTGTGTTATTTATTGAGAAATAGTTTATTAATTAAGAATAATTGATATGCTTTTGATATATTTTTAATAGATCATGCTCCTTTGAGTTATGATTTAACATAGTCTTAGAATCTTGGTTGATTGAGCAAATCTAAAGCTTAATTGGCAGCATTAATCTCTTTGTTGTATTCAGCGACTGTTGCATTATAGACGTCAGTAGCGAAGGCATAGTCATCATTTTCAGCTTACAATTATCCATTAAGAGTGGCCAAATCAGCATCAAGTTCATCGATTAAATCAAGAGTTTATTCTTATTTGGCTTTTTGTTGTTAAAATTAAAATTTATACTTGTATTTGCTTCAATTTCAGCATTCTTAACAACAACAGCTCTTTAGAATTCAGCATGTTCTTAGTTCAATTAAATGACTTAAGCATTAAATTCAGCAACTTAGTCAGCTTCATCAGCAGTGATTTAATTGAGTGAATCAACTAATTCAACTCTCAAATTATTGAAAGCAACAACAATCTATAGAATATATATTATATATTACATCTCTAAGAGCACCTTAATCAGCAAAGTTGGAGTCAACTGTGATTTCTAATAAAACTTTAACAAAGATTTGGAATTAATTGTGCTTTTTCAATGAGTTTTAGATTTTGACTAAATTCTTTTAGACCTTCTTGACTTAAGCAAGAGATGGGGCTTCTAATGTGCTCAATAATTATAAGCATTCATCAATAGCAGCAATAGCATCATTGTGTTCAACAACTTAAGCTTCAAATGTTTCATGATCATTGGCTCTTTAGACTGTAGCTTATTCAAGAGTTTATCTGTTTTAAGCAATGTTTTCTTATAATTATTCAAGTTAGGCTGCAAATCTTTCTCCTTATGGGATAAGGACGTTATCATAGAAATCGTGGGCATTGAACAATTCTAATGAAATAGTAAAACTGATAAAGTACCTCTTTCTTTATCTTAGATTTCTTATTCGAGTCTGGATACTTCTCTGTTGTGAACATCTGTTCTTCTATTGAATTCATGATGAACTCCAGCTAATTCCTCTTCCATTTCATCAATCTATAATTTATAAACTCTCTATATGTACAAGTTTCTCAATTTCAGAGTTGAGCTCAGAAAGAATACCTCCTGTTGTTAAATGGAGTTCAGCAAAGTTCAAGATGAATTTACCCCAACCAGATTAGTGAATTTGAGCAAAAGTCTTTTGGTCTTTGCTTGTCCAAATTGAGGATTAGACGTTAATAGCTGTTGAGGCTAGTACTAACAATGCACACACGGCAATTTTGAACATTTATTGTAATTAATAATGAATTCCTTCTATAGGATTATTTTGCTAAAAAAAGGCAAAAACGAATTTTTCTTTTCATATTAATTAAACATATATTCACATAATTATTCAATTTTCTTTGTGTTCATCATATTCATACTACAAAACTGCAAATAAGAATATATATATTTATTATCATTTGATTTTCTTACTCTATTGTCATAGTTATCTAATTTTTTCAATTATTAATTTTGATCCGCTCTCATGTTTATATATAATTCTCTATATCTTCTACTTTTTATCCTTCTACACCTCCTCTTAGAACTAAAACCAGAAATTCTATTGTCAATTACATATCCCATCAAACTATATCCATTTCCACTTGAATATACTCCTCTTCCTTTTATCACTCCCAACCTAAATTCTCCATCATAATAACTGCAATCACTCCAAATCATTGTTCCCATACCGTCTTCTCTATTTTTCCTTAATTCTCCTTCATATCTATTTTATAACATAAATCAATCATTACTTGCATCCATCTTTAAAATAGATAATACCTTAACCATTTTTTTGTCCATCCTAAAACTATCCATAATATCGTTAACCATCTTTTCTAAACTCCTATCCCTCTCCAGATAAATTATTATCTATCCAAATCCCTAATATGATTATTCCTACATTACCTTTTACTATCTTTTTCTATGATTGAAATACCCCAAAACCATTGGCTCTTCCTTATTTGAATAAGCATTCAAAACTAAACACTAATATCATTATTTTATACATATCTTTATTTGAATACACCATCCTGCACTAACCCTCTAATTCATCATTCTCCCAATTTCTATTTTTATAAATTATCATCTATATTACCCATCCAATATATTTCCTTATTCTGGCCAGATTTAAATACCTGTTCCAATTTTTCGACCTCCAACCCCTTAACCAAAATATATACTTCCATCGTTTTGGTATATGATTTAGTATTTTGGGTTTATCTCATAAATGGGACCTAAACAATCATACATTTATCTAATTTCAGATGGAATTTTCTTTAATAATTCATTTATTCTCTCATCCTTCTATGGAATTCTTCTATGACGGTTTTATAATACGACATCATCTAATTNGGATACTTCTCTGTTGTGAACATCTGTTCTTCTATTGAATTCATGATGAACTCCAGCTAATTCCTCTTCCATTTCATCAATCTATAATTTATAAACTCTCTATATGTACAAGTTTCTCAATTTCAGAGTTGAGCTCAGAAAGAATACCTCCTGTTGTTAAATGGAGTTCAGCAAAGTTCAAGATGAATTTACCCCAACCAGATTAGTGAATTTGAGCAAAAGTCTTTTGGTCTTTGCTTGTCCAAATTGAGGATTAGACGTTAATAGCTGTTGAGGCTAGTACTAACAATGCACACACGGCAATTTTGAACATTTATTGTAATTAATAATGAATTCCTTCTATAGGATTATTTTGCTAAAAAAAGGCAAAAACGAATTTTTCTTTTCATATTAATTAAACATATATTCACATAATTATTCAATTTTCTTTGTGTTCATCATATTCATACTACAAAACTGCAAATAAGAATATATATATTTATTATCATTTGATTTTCTTACTCTATTGTCATAGTTATCTAATTTTTTCAATTATTAATTTTGATCCGCTCTCATGTTTATATATAATTCTCTATATCTTCTACTTTTTATCCTTCTACACCTCCTCTTAGAACTAAAACCAGAAATTCTATTGTCAATTACATATCCCATCAAACTATATCCATTTCCACTTGAATATACTCCTCTTCCTTTTATCACTCCCAACCTAAATTCTCCATCATAATAACTGCAATCACTCCAAATCATTGTTCCCATACCGTCTTCTCTATTTTTCCTTAATTCTCCTTCATATCTATTTTATAACATAAATCAATCATTACTTGCATCCATCTTTAAAATAGATAATACCTTAACCATTTTTTTGTCCATCCTAAAACTATCCATAATATCGTTAACCATCTTTTCTAAACTCCTATCCCTCTCCAGATAAATTATTATCTATCCAAATCCCTAATATGATTATTCCTACATTACCTTTTACTATCTTTTTCTATGATTGAAATACCCCAAAACCATTGGCTCTTCCTTATTTGAATAAGCATTCAAAACTAAACACTAATATCATTATTTTATACATATCTTTATTTGAATACACCATCCTGCACTAACCCTCTAATTCATCATTCTCCCAATTTCTATTTTTATAAATTATCATCTATATTACCCATCCAATATATTTCCTTATTCTGGCCAGATTTAAATACCTGTTCCAATTTTTCGACCTCCAACCCCTTAACCAAAATATATACTTCCATCGTTTTGGTATATGATTTAGTATTTTGGGTTTATCTCATAAATGGGACCTAAACAATCATACATTTATCTAATTTCAGATGGAATTTTCTTTAATAATTCATTTATTCTCTCATCCTTCTATGGAATTCTTCTATGACGGTTTTATAATACGACATCATCTAATTAAAGTATTTTGAAATACTTTCATTTAAAGATAGCTCTACAATTTTTTGAGATAATTTCCATTCCTCATTAGCTCCAGAATAATTGTCCATTAGAAATTTTAAAGAATAATATTTATAAACAAATCCAAATAATCAATTGAAAGTAAGAATATTTTATAAGAAAGCAGTTTTATGATTTAAACAATTTTAATATTCATAGAAATTTCACTAAAAGAAATATTCTTAAAAAGAGTTCAGCCAATAATTCATTCTTTATTTTGATTTACATAATAAATTAGAAAAACAAATCTCTAATTTTCATATTATCACATTTTTCTCGATTTAAGAATTTATAATCACTCCCTATTTATACTATATTCCTTCCATATATATATGTTTACAAATAATCTCAATATTATCCATTAATATAGTAATAATTTTTATTTTGATTCACAAAATAATTCAAATAATCAAAATATATCTTCATTATTGTCTAAAGTACTGCTTACGAATATATTATAAAATGAAACAATTTTTATTATTCAAATTTATCACTAGGCCAATTTGCATCAAATTATTAAGAACTATATATTTTTTAATAATTAGAAACTTTATTAAATATAAATTTGTTAAATCCTTAAAAAAAATATAATTAGCCATTCTTAAATTTGACCATTTGATTCTGTTGAAATCTCTTAAAATGATATTAGCTCCACATTCCAGAATATTGTAATGATTCGCAAATATTAAGTAATCATTAAATTATTTATTTAAATTGATAAAATTTTAGACTTTCATAATAATGAAGACGCTTATCTTAACAATAGTTTACAAAAAGATAGTAGATGCTTTTAAAATCTGATAAATCCTCTTGAATTCGTGAATCAAAATCACTTTATCTTATTGATTGAATAACAGTCTGTTATTAAAAAATGTATTATTTTACTATGTTGTTGATGAAAATTGTAAATTAAAATGTAATTTTTGATGTTGGAAGAATGATTTGTTATTAATAGAAACAATAAGCATAAAATCAAATATAATATTAAACTCAAAAAATAAAATTATAAACTTAAATGATATTTATAGAAGCTTAATATTAAAATAGGTCATTAATTCTTAAAGATTTGTAGCAATGTAATTTGTTAATGAATTTCTATTTAAATAGAGCTTTAAGTCAATTAATAAAATAACTTATCAAAATTAGAAATGTATAATAAGAGAATTTGGATTTATTTGCTTAAAATTATAGAATTAATTTGCAATTAAATGGATTTTATATTCTACGAAATTATTATTAAACTTAATTTATGTATCTGTAAAGTTGATTATAATTTTTTAATCAAACAAAAAGATTTTATTTTCGTTTTTAAAATAATTGAAAGAATTAATGATACAACTTAAATTACCATTTGTAATTGATTAATTTTTGATATTAAAATCTCACAATAGTTGTTTTATTTAATACATATTTTATTAAGTTTGTACATATTATAGGAAATCCATCATTTTTTCATAAAAATTGTCATAAGTATATCATAAATTTTATATTCAGTATAGTCCACTCATGTTTAGATAAATTGTTAAAATATATCTTTATTGATTATTGTATAATAACATTAAAGTAATGTTAGAAAATAATCAAGGAAGTTTGAGAAATATTATCCAGTCAAGATAAATTGAACTGTAATGAAACTTATTACTAAAAGGAAGACATATGAATAAGATAGAAATGAGATATAAGCTATTGAGTAGTGTATAAATTAAAATTAGTAAGATATTAATATTGGTCATTCTATTATTTATCAATCAATTTAACATTTTTTCATTAAGGTATAAAATTTGCTATTGTATAATAATAGATGAATGTAATTATTTATTATAAATTAAGAAAAATTAGATTATTATGTAATATAGAAAGATGATAAACATTTTAGAATTAATTTTATATCTCTTCATTCTAATTGAGCAAAATTTTGATATAAATATTGTATCAAAAAATATAAATTCAATCTTTTAAGACTTGCTTATCATTTAACAAACAATATAAGAATATCAAAATAAAAAATAAAATTTAAAGTTTCTGATTTATTAATAAAGACTTTTTAGATTATTCGATATTATAAATAACAATTTTTATTACACNTGAAGACGCTTATCTTAACAATAGTTTACAAAAAGATAGTAGATGCTTTTAAAATCTGATAAATCCTCTTGAATTCGTGAATCAAAATCACTTTATCTTATTGATTGAATAACAGTCTGTTATTAAAAAATGTATTATTTTACTATGTTGTTGATGAAAATTGTAAATTAAAATGTAATTTTTGATGTTGGAAGAATGATTTGTTATTAATAGAAACAATAAGCATAAAATCAAATATAATATTAAACTCAAAAAATAAAATTATAAACTTAAATGATATTTATAGAAGCTTAATATTAAAATAGGTCATTAATTCTTAAAGATTTGTAGCAATGTAATTTGTTAATGAATTTCTATTTAAATAGAGCTTTAAGTCAATTAATAAAATAACTTATCAAAATTAGAAATGTATAATAAGAGAATTTGGATTTATTTGCTTAAAATTATAGAATTAATTTGCAATTAAATGGATTTTATATTCTACGAAATTATTATTAAACTTAATTTATGTATCTGTAAAGTTGATTATAATTTTTTAATCAAACAAAAAGATTTTATTTTCGTTTTTAAAATAATTGAAAGAATTAATGATACAACTTAAATTACCATTTGTAATTGATTAATTTTTGATATTAAAATCTCACAATAGTTGTTTTATTTAATACATATTTTATTAAGTTTGTACATATTATAGGAAATCCATCATTTTTTCATAAAAATTGTCATAAGTATATCATAAATTTTATATTCAGTATAGTCCACTCATGTTTAGATAAATTGTTAAAATATATCTTTATTGATTATTGTATAATAACATTAAAGTAATGTTAGAAAATAATCAAGGAAGTTTGAGAAATATTATCCAGTCAAGATAAATTGAACTGTAATGAAACTTATTACTAAAAGGAAGACATATGAATAAGATAGAAATGAGATATAAGCTATTGAGTAGTGTATAAATTAAAATTAGTAAGATATTAATATTGGTCATTCTATTATTTATCAATCAATTTAACATTTTTTCATTAAGGTATAAAATTTGCTATTGTATAATAATAGATGAATGTAATTATTTATTATAAATTAAGAAAAATTAGATTATTATGTAATATAGAAAGATGATAAACATTTTAGAATTAATTTTATATCTCTTCATTCTAATTGAGCAAAATTTTGATATAAATATTGTATCAAAAAATATAAATTCAATCTTTTAAGACTTGCTTATCATTTAACAAACAATATAAGAATATCAAAATAAAAAATAAAATTTAAAGTTTCTGATTTATTAATAAAGACTTTTTAGATTATTCGATATTATAAATAACAATTTTTATTACACATATAAGATTATGAAATTTTAAGTTAAAATCATTTATAGATCCTTTTATTAAATCTTTTATATTTTATAATTACAAAATAGCCGTTTTTAATTGTATTTCGATAATAAGAACCAAATTTATGGTGAAAGATTAAAAAATAGTTAATGTAATTTATATAAGTAAAATGAAAAGGAAATCAAAATTTTATGTAGAATGATTTTTAATATAGAATTGAGGCTTACATAGTCAATTTATATATTTATGAATTTGAATAGAGTTTTAGATTAAGGGGAATATAAGAAAATTCAATGATTTTGTTATGAAGTGTGGATAAATCTATGTTAATTAATAATTATTAATAATTATTGTATTATTAAAACGAAGAATTTTTATTCCGTTTTTGGTATTAATAAATTAATTATGAGAACTCTTATTGCTCTTTGCTTAGTGGCTGCTGTCTTCGCTATTGACACAAACAAATTTGCCGTCCTCCTCCAAGCTGGTACTAAAGGAAACGATGCAGTTGAATCAGTTTACAATCTTTTGAGAGATTTGAAAACAGAAAATGTTAATGTCTAAGCTGCTGCTGATAAGAAGAATAATACAGATGAGGGTATGATATAAATTAAAAATTAGAAATCTTTACTTAAGTTATTGGTGACTTGACAAATGTTGCTTCCCTTAACAAATAATAATGGGAAGCTTTGGGTGCCGTTCGTACTGATGTTGAAGCCTAAATTAGAGTATGCTATTTCCCCTTAAGATTTAGGATGGATATTCATGGTTGGCATGGGCTGAAGCAAGACTTGCTGAAATTGAAAGAAGAAATGCTTAACTTTAAGACTAAAGATGTTGGGCAAATGGACTCTTTGTCAGATCATTGGCTGATCATGCTGATGCCGTTGCAGTTGTTTAACTCTTATAATAAGATGTTGCTGGATGGCTCACAAACAATGCTGGTGTTGAATTAGTTCAAAAGGCTGAAACAATCGCTGATAAATTGTCTGCCTACAGTCATCTCTTTTAATAAGATGCCATCAAAAAATTCTAATCACTTGCTGAAGTAAAGAGAGACGGAACAACCGGAGAATAAGTTCTTTCCATTTTATCAGACTTATAAGCTGAATTAGAAGGAACTCTTGCTACACTTTAAGAATAAGAAATCCATGCTGCTTTCGCACTTGCTAAATACGTATCTGATACCAATGCTGAAGTTGCTTGGTTGAACTCTGAACACGAAAGAAGAACAGGCCTTGTTGAAAAATTAGAAACTGTATAAAAAGTGTTTTAATAAATTAATAGCAACTCCCAGCAGTTCTTGCTTAATAAGCTAAAGCTCTCAAATTATGGAAAGATTCATTGAATGCCGTTGCTGGTGCCACTGCTGATTTGGAAGAGAAAAGAGAATTCTATGCTTCAGAAACTGCAAGAAGATAAGGTATTTATTTAATGTAAATCTTTAATAGAGGAGAATGCTATCATTGATGTTGTCATCTAATTGTTCAAGGATTAAGTTAGAGCCTTAGCCTCATAAACATCCCTTGGAAGAAAATGATTAGATTATTAAATTCAATTTAAAAATAAACATCAATTACATAACTTCATTTAATTATATATATATATTAACTCATTCATTTATTGGAGAGTAATCATATTCAGCTTTATTATGCATAACCAAAGTATCACCAACAAAATAAAAACTATCAGATTTTGTATCAAATGGATTTTCTATCATTAATTATTTCTTTAATAAATAAATAAACATCTTTACAATATCTTCATCTATCTCTGGAATTGTATAGATATGTTCCCATGTATTTGTTGAATTTGGAATACAAAATGGAAATTGGAATTCATAACTTCTCAATAAGACATTTCTGAAATAATGCCTCTCAATTATTGTAAAGTTTTTGATAGGCTTATCCCCAACAGAAAATGTTAGTTATGCTCCAATCGTTTTTAATTCAAAAAATAAAGGACCAAAGTGATATTTGATTCTCCTGGCTTCATCTTGAAGTGCTAGTGGTAGATTTTCTTTACACATTAAATTGAAAACTTACCAATTGATTCTTCATCTGGATCTCGCTCAACTTCAAAGAGAACTTATCCTGATTCCATATCTCTGATTCTAAACTTTAAGAATTAGATATTATAAATATTTGCAGATATAGGGCACAAAAATCTATTCAATAAATCTATCAATTACTCTTTTGTTATTTCCTACAATTTTCTTACATAATCCTAGTCGATTTTCTACCCTGCCTGCATTAAAATTTAAATAATATAATATTAAAATATTTATCATATTCAATCTTTTTTTATAACTCTAAAAACAACTATAATCTCGCTAATTCTATAAGCATATTCTTGCAACTCTTTAATATTTACTATTTTCTTTTACCCATACCAAAATTCATTCCTCTTAAATATACTTTTAATTCGTTTTGTATTTGATTTGCATATCAAAATATTTAATTGATATTATTATATTGTCTCTTTTTCAATCTAATTCAAATAATACTCTATATGTAAAGTACCATACTATTAAAATCTTAAAGCAATTATGGATGGAAAATATACATCCATAATACTCATTAATAAGAAATGAAATCATAATTAGACAATTATAATAGATCTTCATTTACAGATATAATATAAATCATCGAGGATTAAAGTTATTTTCTATAAATTAAGAGTTTAAACATGTTAATTTGAATATTAATGTACTTTATGTTTAATAATCATTTTCTTGCAGCTAATGCTACTTAAGTTGCAATTCTATTTAAGTCTTATTATCCTTCCTTAGTAACAATTCTTGATCCCTTCTTCAGGAGTGATTTATTGTCTTTCTTTAAGACTTTAATTGATTCTAATTGTTAGAGTAAATATCTTATAACTTTTCCTGATCCTGATTCATGTTTTCCATTATCATTGACTGATCCAAACATGTGAGTTAAATTTCCAACACCCTAAAGTTACATATTATTAAATAGAGTACCCAATGACCTCTCACATAAATTTTTCTAGCAAGTGCTGCAGCTCTAACATACATCCAATCTTGATCGATAGGTGAGATTTCTTATCCAAGACCTGTTTTTACAATTGATGCCCATTCAGGGATTTTTATTTTATTATTTTTCTTTAAGTACTCTGCATATGCACGAATGAAGTCTTAAGCAGGAACATCCTTTTATTAATTTAAGTGTAATACCTTCACAGTATAAAATGGTGCTGACATCCTATGATAAAAAATTAAATAAATATTTTTTTGAATATTTCTTAAGATTCTTTTTAATTATAAAAAACCTTAAACTCATCTCTAAAGATAAAAGGTTTATGTGAAAAATATTAAAATATTTCTATATTATTTATTCTTTTTTAGAAAAGAAATAAATAATATAGGCTATTAATGAAGGAAATTAATATGAAACAATGTATAATGTATGAATTGATGAAAAATTTTCAAAAGACTCAATAAAATTTATTTAATAAGAAAGTTGTTTAGGAGAATAAATAATAATTATAGATTTTTATGATCTAACCTTGAAATCAGATTTAGAATATATTAAAAAGATTAATAAACGAAAATGAATAATTATTGAAAGTTGCTTAAAGATGAGATAAAATGAAGAATGAATTAAATGAAAATGATTTAGAATAATATACTATGGATAATTTTGTATTTGATATTTAAAGAGGAAAAAGAGGAGAGAGATAATTAAGAAAGTTGAGAGATGGATATTTATATAATTAGATTGTAATTAATAATAATTAATTGTATATTATAAGCATTTGTTCGATCCGTTTTTAAAACATTAATAAAAATATATGCAAAAACTAGCCATCTTGACATTAGTTGTTGCCCTTGCAGCTTCCAAGTTTGTTGATATTCACACATCCTTGGCTCAGATTGATGCCAATCCATTTGGAAATGTTGTGTTGTCAGCAATTAAGGCTCACATTCAAGCACAAACACCAGCCAACGAAGTTAATATGTTATTGAACGGTGTTGCCGCTGGATTGTAATAAGATCAAAATGACCATGACCATGCTTTTGAACTTGACACAACTACAAACAACAGAGTAATAATATTTATTAAGAATATCTTAGATTGTCGAAGATTTAGAAAAGGAAATCTTATATCACTAAAATCAAATTTCATCTAACACTTAATTGAGAGATGATACAATTGAAGCTTTAGCTGTTTCTGAAGAAGACATTAGAGTCACAATTTAAGACATTGCAACAAACGAAGCAACATATGCTAGAGAAGAAGCTACAAGAAACTAATAACACGAAACCTTCGTTTCCAAGATTGCTGCCATTGATGATGTTATTGATGCCATTGATGATGCTGCCAAATTAATTCAACATTTGAGTTTAGGTGCTTCATTTGTCTAAGTCAAATCAAAATATGAAACCATTCACAAGAGACTTACAGATAACACATCCCACTCCCAACTCTTATAAGTATTTAGATTTTTATATATCTTTATTATAGCCAGTCGTTGCTGCTCTTACAGAATTAGCTACTCACGGAGTTAACTAAAAGGCTTTAACCAAGATTGCTTAACTCTTGAGTGAAATCAGATAATAATTAGTCTAAGAGAAGGCTGTTAAAACTGTAATCATTTAAATCCAATAATAAAGGATGTTGAAGATAGATAAGCTGCTCATTGGGCTGAATTCAGTGCTCACTTAAGTAACGAACACACCAGATTGGTTGAAAGAAAAGCTTAATTGGAAGTCTAAATCTAAGAATAAAAGGATACCATTGAAGATGCTTAATCATGGATCGAATTCCACACCTTAGAATTAGAAAACAGTGAAGAAAGACTTGCTGGATAATAAGCATGGTATGCAGTCTAATCAGAAATCTATGAAACTTAAACTGCTGAAAGGTATTACTAAAATTTAATTTAAATAGAGCTGCTTAAAACGAAATCGTTGACAGACTCTAAGAACACATCAGTGAGAAATTATCAACCACCGCTCAATTCATCAGTAAGAGAAATTGATTCATTAAACAATACAATTATGGACAATTGTTCTATTATACATGTTATTTATACTCTTTCTTATGTTCTTTCTAACTTTTCTATTTTATTATTTAAATTAATTTATATAATAATAATCAGATGTAAAATGTAATGTTGTTCTGCTCTTTTTAAAATTAATAAACGTTATTAGCTGTTCTATAAACTTTACACTAATCTCAGATTTATATTTAATTGATGAAATCTTAGGTTCATATCCAAAAAAAAGATAATCTTATTTTCAATGTTAATTGATATATGAGAAAAGGATATGAATTAAATTTATTAATTGTTTTATTCAAATTAAATCTTTATTATTTTAATAGCTAATAATTTATCATAATTTATCAAATATCTTAAATTTTATAAAACCACTAAAGAAGGAGAAGGAATTAAATTTAATTCTAAATGGTTATTATTTAAAAAAGAGTTTAGATTTACTTAAGATAATTAAAATATTTATAGAGTAAATAAGAAAATTGTTTAATGTAGACAATTATGTTTATTATAGTAGAGATATTAATTATATCTTAAAAGTTTCAATTGATTTTATAATTAATTATATTTATACTTTACAATTTTTACAATAAGAGATTGAACAATTATTATATATTTGTATTTATTTATAAAGTATTATACATTAATTGAAAAGATTGAACATTTTAATATTTAATTTATGAAAATTATTCGAACATTTTGCTAAGCCAAATAATTGTTGCTAAATGATAAATTAAAACTCACAAAATACTTAAAATTAGTCTATTAGACTCCTGTTTCCTATGAAGGTGTAAGAAAAGCACTTGGATATGATGTTATTCTTAATAACATGAAATTTGAAGAGAATTAATCAGAAATCTTTCCATTAACATTAAAATTAATTAAAAGAGATATATCTTTATTTGACTTTAAGGAATTTACAACTTATTTATCAACTCTTAATAATTACATTTGTTTTTCTAAATCACCTTATCCTTAAAATGAACAAGAATTTTAGGATGCTTTAAGAATTATACTTGATAATGGCACTTTTATTTAAAAGTTTTTGACTCTATAACATATAGTAATATATTTTGATTCAAGAATTACACTTTATTGTTAATTAGCCACATAATTAAAAGATGCTGTTAGAGATCATCAACCTAAAAATACAGAAGAGAAAATATTAAAATTATTTTGGGAATAAATTGATATATATGATTAAGAGAAAATAGAATCACTTATAGAAAAATAAACTGAACCATAAAATCCAACAATGAAAATAGAAGAAGGAATAAAAAAAGAATTTATAAATCTAATAGATATTTTATAAGTTGAATGTGAATAATATCATTTAGCTACATAAATGGTTATATTTGAAATAATTTCCAGATTATATTTTGATTAAGTAATTTAAGTTAATATTATATGATAGGATGTTGAAATTAATGAAAAGAAACTTTAATAAATCTATTATGTTGAAAAATAATGTTAATGTAAAATAGAGTAGAATCTATCTAATTTAAATAATTTTCATCTTGTACTTTATACACATATGTTGAATCTTAATTAACATGAAATAAATATTTTGAGTTGGGATAAAATTATTGTATAATTTAATAAATATATTATAGAATGAATTAACTATTAGAGATTTTGCAACAATGACAATAGATGATGCATTTAAAATATGGTTATTATTATATGAGATTGGAAGATAAAATTCGACTGTCAATGATAAAATTATTGAGTAAAAAATATATATATATATTAGAAAATTAATGAATTAAATCTAATTAATTTCAAATAAATATTACGTATTATTATGTGAATTATTAATCGAAACAAAAAATAGCAAAACTGTGGAGTTTTTAAAAAAATGGTATAAATTTCTTCTGCAACTTGTTAGGTATCCAAAAATTGATTTGGAGAATGAGACACCATAGAATTTATGCGTAATATTAGATGCATTTAATTCTGCCAAGCTTTTAAACAAGTTGGTTTTGGGAAAATTTTTGAATGCTTTGGAAGGTAAAATAGAATAATTGGAAGAGATTTATATTGAAAACATTTTAATTAGTTTAGTTGACCATTAATATTAACATGAGAAGACATTTGAAAGAGCTGTCAAATTTGAATTATTTGAGGTAATAAATATAAATTTACATATATTAGAATACTTCAAAGCATTTCCTATTAGGGTTATTGCATTATTGTTAGTTGTATAATTAGAGTCATCCAAGAGTAAAAGAAATTCAAGAAGTTCTTGTTTAAGTCTTAACAAAAGAATATGATGAATCCATTTTGATTGAGATGTTAAGAATCTTAATTACTGCAATCAGAAAGAAGAATTCTTAACATATTGAAATAATATCTGAATTAAAGCCATTCATTAAAAAATTTCTAGAATCAAAAGAAGGAAATTTAATGGGTTAAGAATCTTAATTCAGAAGTGTATTATAAAAGTTGTATAATATTAAGTGAATGTATCTAATATTAAAAATATCTTTTTTGATCATCAGTAATGTTACATCACTTGTGGAGATACACATATAATACTAGCAAAGCCCTTTCTTTAGAATAATTGACAAGATGGGGATTACATAATACTTCAGTTGTTAGAAATGCCAGTACAGCAGAATTGTATGAAATTGCTGCCATGGATCCACTCTCACCAGATCCTGAAACAAGACCAGGTTCAATTTCAAGTACTGGAGCTATGGTAGCCTATTCTGGAAGAAGAACAGGGTAAGAATATATATATTAATTGTTTAGTCGATCTCCAAAAGACAAGAGAGTTGTGTTTGATGAATAAACTGAACATGATATATGGTGGGGAAATGTCAATATACCAATCCCAAAAAAGTCTCATAATCTTTTGGAATAGGTTGCCCTTTAATTTTTAAATACAAGACCAAGAGTAAATTTATAAGACATAAATTTTATAGTTATTTGTTGTTGATGGATATGCAGGATGGGATCCTCATAGCAGACTTAGAATTAGAGTGTTTTGTACAAGAGCATATCATGCTTTATTTATGTAAAATATGCTTATCAAACCAACAAATGAGGAATTAAAGAAAGATTTCAGTGATGATGTTGATTTTCATATTTTCAATGCAGGACCTATGTCAGCTCCAAAATTAGTAGAAGGAGTTGGATCAGAAACATGTGTCTCAGTCAATCTTACAGATAAAAAGATGGTCATATTAGGTACCTAATATGCAGGAGAAATGAAAAAGGGAGTATTTGGTGTTACACATTATATGTTCCCTAAATAAGGAATCCTTACACTTCATAGTTCAGCTAATGAAGGAGTTAATGGAGATGTTACATTACTCTTTGGTTTGAGTGGAACTGGTAAAACCACATTGAGTGCAGATCCTAAGAGAAAATTAATTGGAGATGATGAACATGCATGGTCTGATAATGGTATTTTTAATATTGAAGGTGGTTGCTATGCTAAATGTGTAGATCTTAGTCATGAAAAAGAACCAGAAATTTATAATGCTATTAAGTAATTATAATATTTATTAAAAGATTTGGAGCTGTCTTAGAAAATATTGAATTCATATCAAAAGACTCAAGAGAAGTTGATTATCATAATATTTCTATCACAGAAAATACAAGAGTCAGTTATCCTTTAGATTTCATTCCAGGAGCTAAGAATCCAGCTGTAGGAAGTCATCCTAAAAATATCTTATTCCTTACATGTGATGCTTATGGTGTATTACCACCTGTTTCATTGTTAACACCAGAATAAGCAATGTATCACTTCATTTCAGGATACACAGCTAAAGTTGCTGGTACAGAAATGGGAGTCAAAGAACCAGTTGCTACTTTTTCAGCTTGTTTTGGTGAAGCATTCTTACCATTACATCCAACTCTATATGCAACTATGTTAGCTGAAAAAATGAAATAACATGGAACCAAATGTTGGTTAGTTAATACTGGTTGGTCAGGTGGCAAATATGGTATTGGCAAAAGAATGTCCTTGAAATATACAAGATCTATAATTGATGCTATTCATACTGGTGAATTAATTAATGGTGAATTTGAAAAATTCGAAGTTTTCAATTTATAAATCCCCAAGAGAGCTACTGGTGTTCCTGATAGCATTCTTCATCCTAAAAATACTTGGGTGTAAGTTTATTTATTAATTTTATAGTAACAAGAGTGAATTTGAAAGAACTTTAAGAAATTTAGGTGATAAATTCTAAAAGAATTTCTAAAAATATGCTGATAAGGCTACATCAGAAGTTATTAATGCAGGACCATAAATATGATTATGTAAAAATTATAATATAATCGAAAATATAATAATCTAAGTTATCTTTCTAGTATTTTATTTATATTGTTAATTCTAAGACAATTTAATTTTATGAATTTACAAATATTATCATTTATTTCAACTATCTATTTAATTTAATATACAATCCAATTCAATTTAGAATTATTATTTTTAGAACTAATGATTAAATTAAAATACTGGTTAAATGATGTTTATATATTTTATTTAAAATATTTTACTTTTTTTCAATTTAAGTATTCTCCTTGTTAATTATAATTAATTAATTTTGAAAACAATTTATTTAAGTTTAAAAAATTTATACAATTCCTTTATAATGCATACTAATAATTATCTGAAAAGATCTATATAATAAACTAGATAATTAAAATCTTGTTTAAGATGTTTAAACTTACAATTTTAAGACTCTTTTTTGAAATTTTAATTTAAAACAAAATTATATTAATAAGTGATCAGATCAATATTCTGAAAGAATTTCATCAGAAAAATGGATTGATATTCAATAAAAGAATTATTAAGTATTTAAAATAATGTAATTAGAATAAATATTTATCAACTAATAAATATATTATTTAATTATGTAAAATTGATATCATTATGATTACTCATATTTTACATAAGGATAAACTTATGGAATTTAAAGCGATTGAGGATAACAATACGATTAGACAGTTTAGATTGGCCAGATATTGAAGTTTGGTTAGAAATAGAATGTTAAAACAGGTGTTGGAGTATAAATGGAAATCTAAAAATAATATAATTATTAATTACTAAGTTAGATGGACTTGATTAAAAATTAGAATGAGATTGATTTTTTTAATTTTGATATGGCTATTATTCTGAGTAGATTTAAGTTTAGTAGTTTTATTATTAATCATATTCTTCCTTATAATTTTATTATAGATTAGATGCTTAGATTTTGGAATATATTTTTGAATCAGATTAGGTATTTAAGTTAAGATCAGTTTATTTTTTAGTATCAAAAGGTGTTAAATCTTATTAACTATTCTTGTTGAGTATTATACCACCTTTTTAAGAGATATAGTTATTGCTATCATAATGAAATTTTAAGTACTTTAGAGTAAATAGTTTATTTAACATTTTTTTGATATGTTTTATATCTTCCTCAGGTAGCATTCTTAATTCAGATTTATCTATGTGTCTAAATCGTCTAATAATTTATTTAAATTCAATTTTCATTTCATCATCAATATTAAAAGTTTTTAAAGAATCCTCATTGCAATATATAACACCCAAAACACTAGGTTTTATTTATTTAAGTAAATCTGAAGCTAAGAAATAGTATAAACGTATTACATTAATCATAACCCACTGCCTTACTGAGTCGACGTAAAACCTTCCTTAAAGTTGCATAAAAGTAATTTTTACAAAGTAAATCAGTACGGCCATTCATTTAAGAGGCAATTTTAGCCCAAGAATTTCCAAATGATTACTAAAGATTGAATAATTTTTATTCCTCTTCATCTGTCCAAATATTTCTATTCAAATTAGGGTTTAGAATGTTTTAGTATCGTTCTCTACAAGCAGCTGGAGAACGTTTTTTAATGGAATTCTTAATTTGATATTGAAGTTCATTTGCAATGCGATTCCATGATTAACAACCATTAAGTTTGATAAGTTCTAATAAAAGTTTGTCTTCCTATAAAAGATAATAGTAAAAATTACTTGATAGGTCCAACTTTATCTAATTTCTGAATATTTAGAATACATGTTGCTAGGTAATGAGAAGAGTTTAAATTAAAATAGAAGATATAATATATATAAATAAAAGTTTAGTAATCTAAAAAATTTATTCAAAATAACATTAATTAATTATTATATTATAATTTCATGAATAAATGGTTTATTGAATGATTTTCATTTTTATATTTCTTTAAAAATAATCAATTTTTACAATCATATATTAATTTTTATAAACTTTAATTTAAAGATCAAATCTAAATTTACAAATAAAAGATTTCTATTTTGCTTTAAAGATTAAGTAATATATTTTAAAGATAAGATATATTTATTTATATTAACCAATTATTTTTTAAATTAACTACACAAATATAAAATATTTTAATTAATAATAAATATTATATACACATAATCATACTAATTTTTATTTAGATATTTATTATTTTAATTTTTTTACAGAATTATGGAACCACAAAATTGTAATTAATCAAGTTTATAAATTAGCAATAAATAAATCAGCAATTGAAGGTTTTGAGAACTTATTATTAACATAAACTTAATTTACTACATAAAAGAAAAAAGTCTTTTTAGAAGATAATTTAAAATATGGAAAAGAAATTGAAAGAGATTACAATAAATTACAAGATATAATTGATGTATGATAAATATAGAAAATTGATTAGAATTTATAAGGCAAAGTTGATAAAATTATAAAGTCATAAGAAGATGATTTTATGATAGCATATAAGGAACAAATGACTGAAATATAAAAAGAATTAAAGGCTATGAAAAGAAAGATTGATGAAGAGGCATTACGATAGAAAGCTGATGAAAAAAAAAGAATTTTAGAGGAAGAAAGAGATTATTTTAGAGAAGAAGCATTAAGATTAGATAAATTATGTTAAGAACAATTAAGAACTATAGAAGAATTAAAATTTAAATTAAAAATAACTTTAGAGGAAAAATAATATTATGAAGGCTTTGTTATTGGTATTATAATAGAATAAAGAATATATAGATTCTAAAAAAGAAAATAAAGCTTTAAAATATGAACTTCTTTATTTATATAAATAGAAGAGCGAAGAATAAAAAAGTGGTTAAAGAGTAGGTTCAGTTGGAAATATAAATCAAAGAACAGTTATCAAAAAAAATATTGATTATAGACCATTTACTTAAGAAGGAACTCAAATTTCTGCCACTAAAGATGAATTAGGTGAAGGATCAAAGAGAGATTTCTCATCTGTTAAATAAGGATATAAAACACAATTATCAAGCAAAGTATAAGATTAAGCATCAACTTAACATGAATTTTTTAGAAGAGAATTATCTTCCCATTAATAAAGTAGATATAATTAAGATATTCAATAAGTATTAATTTATATATATTAGATCGAAGAAACTACAAAAAAAGAACAAATTTAAGAACTTAAATCATAATTATAAAAAGAAAAATAAATTACTTAATAATTAAAAGTTGAGCTCTCGAAACAAAATTGTTAAAAAGGAGAATTAGAATAGATATTATTAGATTGTGTAAATGAAATGAAAAAAGAAGTTCATTATCGTTAAAATTAATAAAGATAATTGTTAAATCATAGATTTTCTGATTCATAAATAAATTTTGATGGTGAAATGAATTTCTCTTAATTTACTCATACTGATAAAATGTATAATGATTAATTAATTAATTATAGATAATTATTAAAAAGATATATTGGGAGTGAGGAATTCTTAGATCAATTATATCAAATTACATTCAACAATTAAATGTAATTGTCTACTTCTTTAAAATTGAATGAAAAATGGAAAATGGATGCGGATGAAGCTACAAAAAAATATAATAATTTTAAATCATTTAAATTTAAAAATATAACAAGCCAACGTAAGATATTATTATTATAACTTTTATAGCAATTTTAAAAACATCTCTTATAAAAAGGCAAGACAAAGAAATTGTTCAAATTTCTAATAATTTTACTGAAAAAACTAAAGGACTTATTGATAAAATCATTAAAAGTTGATCAATCTTTATTGCCATTTATTTTTTTTAACATTAAAATCATTATGCAACTAAATTAAAATTAATTGTTTCATTATGAATTACTTCCCATTTACCTAATTTTAGTTTACTTGAATTCTAAAGACATTTTTCTATTGGTTTATTCTTTTCATCATTTAAATAAATAACAAGATCTAAAGTTTACTAAACTACTGGAGGTATCACTTATGCTTAAGTAGTAGTATCTTATTATTGATATACATAATGTACATACCTAAAAATAAGGCAGGATTAGTGTTCATTTCAATGAGATAGACCTTTAAATTTGTATCTATCATAATATCACATCCCATCAATTCAAATGTTCCTAATCTCTTTTCAAATTTATCAGCTGCACATCGGATGATATGAGCAAATATTCTTTTCATTTATAAATAAATTATATCAATTTACTCTTATGAAACATTCATCTTCTCTTTTAAATATTACTTTTTAGTTGAAAATAGATAATTACTTCGAATTATTGCATTGACCATATAGTTGATTCTTTAGATGCATTAAATGAAGGATGTTTTTTTTAGATTGCTGCATTAGTTAAATGTTTATATCTATTTTTCTCATCATCCATATCTTCAACATTATATTTATCTACAGATAAACGTAAATATCCATGTTAAAAGAGAACAAATAATGGTCTTGAAGTAGCAATCAATACATAACATCTAATATCAAATTTACGTCCATCCAATAAAAGTGGATTTTGAATATATTTTTAAACTATACATTTTCTAAGATTTTGTGTAAATATACCATTTTGTAAAAATCCTTTTGATGCTTTTATTGAATTAGAGATTGATTTTAATCTAATTTTATAGAAATCTTACTTCTAAAATTCTTATTTTAATTTTTTAGCATTTGAACACAATTTAATACCTCTTCCACAATTAAAATAAGTAGGTTTAATAATCCAAATTGCAGAATTATCAGTTTTTAGAAATTGATCTTCTTCATTACTCAAAAATTCTTAAGTCAAATCAATTCTATATGTTTCAGGAAAGAAGTGTGATGAATTGAATTATAATTCTAAATCACAAAAAAAAAGAAATTACATTTATTTTATCTCTCATATTCTTTCATGGTTTAAATAATAAGTTATTTTGATGTAAGAATCATATGATTAGGTAAATGATTAATTATTTACTATCCGTCTTTAAAATATTAAAATTGAATTTCAGAATTAGTTTGAACCCATTTCAAATAAAAATCATTAGATGATTTTCCACTTTCTGCATCTAAAAGCTTCCATCCTCTATAAATCAAATAATTATTCTCATTACGATTATTGAGATAAATAATTTGAGATCATTTTTCCATTATTGCCTGGGCCAATAAAATAATATTTCAAACACAAAGCTTTCTTATTCAAAGATTTCTTTTTTGGATCTTCTGTCTATGACCTAATCTTCTTTGAGCTTTAATTCTTTTTAATCTTTCTTCCTCTTTATGTTTGTTGCATTTTAATTAATAGTTTTAAAAAATAAATTTATAACACTAAAACAATTAAAGTATGCCTAAAACTGAAAAAAAAGTTATATTAACTTGGCTTATTGACATTTTAATTTATGGAAAAAATAATATTTATATAATTAGTTGTTATTTTTAATGATGATAATATTATAAGTAATATTAGAAAATAATAATGTTTAAAGGATTATGACTTTTTTAAATTAATTAATATTTGTAAATCTTCTTTTTTTATCTTTAATATCAACCTATAAATAAATATAATAAATTAAAAGCAATTTATTATTGAAGATATATTTAATCTTTAACGAAGGATGTAAATCAGCAAGAGCTAAAACCCTTTATTTATACAGAGTCAAATAAATAATTATCTTATTTAAACAAATAATTCTTATATCATATCATATTAATTGAAATAATTGGATATATTAAAATAATCATCAATATAAATATTATAAATAATAACAATTAAATTTTTATATTATACATATAAAAATAAAGAAATTTTTGGATAAAATTATAGTAGAAAGTTTGAAAATTGTATTTAAAATGATTCCCCTCCAACTCTTTTTAATTTATTCTTTCTTTAATCTTAAAAGATATTAATAAAGAAATATACTAATGTAATTTAATATTATATCTAATAGTATCAAATCTCAAAAAGTCAAAAAATCAAATAGTATCTTTTAACATACTTTCCATCAATTATTTCAAATGATCTATAGTCATATCATTATCACAATTATAAGATTGTATAACATTATGTGCATGTTCTTAATTTAATAATTAATTCTTTTTAGATTAACTTAGTACTCTTTTTTAATTTGATTTTGATTGTCTGGCCTTAGAATTTTTGATTCTAGGATTTTATTTAATAATCTTCTTATAATCTTCATTATCACTATTTTCCAAATACTGTTTATTTTATTCAATATTAGATTATTATTCTTGTAATTTTTATGATTAAACTTAACTTTCAATATCTTAAAATTTAATAGATTAAATATAACTATTATTGTTGTTTAATTCATCATTAATATTATTATTTGATTAAGCTACTTATGGATTAAATTCTTAACAATTTTCCTATTATAATAAATTTTATATTATTTAAACTTACTAGTAACCATTTTACAAAGAATTTAAATTAGAGAAATCAATTTCTTAAGTTCTTTCTTTTTCTTATAATATTCTTTTAAGCAAGTTTTGTTCTTTTTATTTTGTATTATCTATTTTTTGTTATTATTAATCTTATTCTTCTTTTTTCATTTAATTCCATTTATGAAGTGATTTTTAATATACTTCTTTTTAATCTAAATCTTCAGATTTCTACAACTTATCATTTACATAAAATAGAAACTTTAGCGCCTTTTAAATTGTAATCAATTTTATAATACTTCTTTGCAAGTAGTTATTCTTTATTTTTAATTTTAATCTTTCTCTTCATTTTTCATTTAATCTTACATAATATAATATAAGTAATTATATATATTTATAGAACAATTAATTATTCAATTAAATCCTTTATTTTCTGAATTTTTTGATGTATGAATAATTCCTTTAACAATACTATTAATAGATGAATAATTCTTTGGTTTTTCAGCACCTTTAAATCTTGAATAAGATTTGATTTCTGGTTTTAATTTAAGAGCAACAACTCTTTTCATAGTTCTCTCTAAAGCAAGTAATTAATAATATGAATTGAATTGTGATTTCTTTGATACCAAATCATGTTTTAATTTTTCTTACTATTATTTTTGATCTTTATCATATTATTATAGATATACATCCTTCTTTAACTTTATTAAGTTATTATGGAACATAAACTTCTTTAATTTCTTTTATTCTCTTGAATTTCTCCTCTGTATCTGTTGAAACTAATTCATTAAAATATTTTTTTCTTAGATCTGAAATCATATTTAAAGTCAATTATCCAACATCTACTTCTCTAGCTTATTTCTAATTTCTAACAATATTGTACTTCCAATAATCTTAATCTTTCTTCTTCTTCTTTTTTCTTTCTCATTATTTCATCTTAATTGATTCTCTATTGAATTTACATAATAATCTTTCTCTTTTTTGTTAGATCATCTGATTTGATAGCTTTTCTTTACTATTTTTAAATAGCCTTATTAGATAAAGCCATTTACATAATCTCTAATTTAGTTTAAGGTATATGTTCATCCTAATTTCTAATTGGTATTTGTAACTATATACATGTACAAGTTATCAACATGAAGATAACTGGTTTTTAATTTAGTTTTCTCTGATAATAATGACTAAATTGATTCAGTAGGTGTAAATGCAGTATTTTATTATAGAATATCTAAAATCTATTATTTACTAGGAGGTATCATAGTATTTTCATTTTAATATTTTTTTAATCCTTCTTCTAAATTATCAATTTAATTTGATAACTCTGATAAAACTTCTTTTGTATTTTATTTATAAGGATTAAGAATCTTTCTTATTTATTGACTTGTTAATTTACGAAACAAACTTGAATTATAAACATGCTAATAATCAACATCATTATCTATTTCCTATTGTTCTTCAACTAGTTACATATTAAATATAAATTATTAATAATAAACTTTTATTCAATAATCTCTTTCCCTTTATTTAATAATTTCTTAAATTTCTGTCACCTTCTTTGTTTTTTTATGATTTTCACCATATTACATAAGAAATTCTTGATAAGCCAATCCCATATAATGTCTATATTATTCTTCATTATTTAATTTTTTATAAACAAAAGCTTATGCCTATAAGTTTTAAGTGATTGGTATTATGTATAATTTGATATTACTTTCATCTATGTGTTTTCTGAAATATTCTTAATATTATTAAAAAATAAATACCTTCAATTGATTTCAGAACTTGCAAAGATTCTTTAAAAATTACTTCTTCTGGTAGATTTTCACTTGATGGAGTGCCATATTGATAATATCTCTTTAAATATTTATACCAACATTAAGAAGTCTAAAATTATATAAATATATTACTTTTGCATAAAATTATTCAGCTTCTGAGGTTTATTTCTTTTATTAGAAAATTTATCCCATATAATAATAATTCAAACTTGTCTATGGATGTTCTGGATCAGAACTGCAAGAATCTGTATAAATCTATTCAAAATATTCTAAAAACAAACTTACTCCTATTGTTAATTCTGCTAATGCTTTTTTGTAATCTTTTTAAGCAAAATAGAGTTTTGAAAATATTTTATGCAACTGACCATTATACTCAGCATTCTCTTTTTCTGATATATCTTAACCCATTTTATTGCCATCTTCACTTCCTTTTTCTTTTGGTTTATTATATTGATACAGATTCCAATAAGCAGCTTAAAGAAATTCTTCAGCTTTTTTCAATTTGCCTTCTGCTATATATGCTTCTGCCTATATAAATAAACCAGGAAGTAATAAAACACTATTTTCACCTCCCAAAATCTCTTTGTATTCAATCATGGCTTTATGAACTTCTTCTGTGGCCTTTATTATTGCATTAAAGTTACATTAAGCTTATTCTCTAATATTGCTTAACGAGCTTATTCAACAATTTTTTTGAGAGCCTCTTTAGCATCCTCTTTACTTTTTTGTGTCTTATTTTTATCTTTCTCCTTTTCTGGAATTTGAGATTCCTTTAATTTTTAAGAGGAATTCATATTAATTAATTATTTCTAATTTTTATAAAAGTTAAGAGAATGGAAATAATAACTTTATTAAAAATCTAAAGTCAAATTTATAACATCATTTTGAGAAATTCTTCTTATGTTATTGCTCCATCACCATCTTAATCTAATTATTTAACTAATTATTCATATTTATTAATTGGTATTTATATGTCTCTTAATAACTTTTTAATTTCCTATCTACTCAATTCTCCACTATGATCTCTATCAATTTGCGTGAATAACATTAAAAGTTTTTCTCTATTAAAATATTTCTTTTAGTCAATAGTTGCAATAATAAATTCTAATTTAATCAATATCTTTTTTTACCTTAATAATCAATTTTTCCACTACCGTTTACATCTATTCTTTTAAAAATTGTATTCACTTCTTTTAATGCCCTATCTGGAGGTAAAGTTTCTGAATAAACTTTAAGAAGCTCATCTTTTGTTAATTATCCATCTTTATTGAGATCAAATTTTTAGAATTCATCCATTAACTTTTTTTTATCTTAATCTGACATCATATTTTCTGCTATANATATTGATAATATCTCTTTAAATATTTATACCAACATTAAGAAGTCTAAAATTATATAAATATATTACTTTTGCATAAAATTATTCAGCTTCTGAGGTTTATTTCTTTTATTAGAAAATTTATCCCATATAATAATAATTCAAACTTGTCTATGGATGTTCTGGATCAGAACTGCAAGAATCTGTATAAATCTATTCAAAATATTCTAAAAACAAACTTACTCCTATTGTTAATTCTGCTAATGCTTTTTTGTAATCTTTTTAAGCAAAATAGAGTTTTGAAAATATTTTATGCAACTGACCATTATACTCAGCATTCTCTTTTTCTGATATATCTTAACCCATTTTATTGCCATCTTCACTTCCTTTTTCTTTTGGTTTATTATATTGATACAGATTCCAATAAGCAGCTTAAAGAAATTCTTCAGCTTTTTTCAATTTGCCTTCTGCTATATATGCTTCTGCCTATATAAATAAACCAGGAAGTAATAAAACACTATTTTCACCTCCCAAAATCTCTTTGTATTCAATCATGGCTTTATGAACTTCTTCTGTGGCCTTTATTATTGCATTAAAGTTACATTAAGCTTATTCTCTAATATTGCTTAACGAGCTTATTCAACAATTTTTTTGAGAGCCTCTTTAGCATCCTCTTTACTTTTTTGTGTCTTATTTTTATCTTTCTCCTTTTCTGGAATTTGAGATTCCTTTAATTTTTAAGAGGAATTCATATTAATTAATTATTTCTAATTTTTATAAAAGTTAAGAGAATGGAAATAATAACTTTATTAAAAATCTAAAGTCAAATTTATAACATCATTTTGAGAAATTCTTCTTATGTTATTGCTCCATCACCATCTTAATCTAATTATTTAACTAATTATTCATATTTATTAATTGGTATTTATATGTCTCTTAATAACTTTTTAATTTCCTATCTACTCAATTCTCCACTATGATCTCTATCAATTTGCGTGAATAACATTAAAAGTTTTTCTCTATTAAAATATTTCTTTTAGTCAATAGTTGCAATAATAAATTCTAATTTAATCAATATCTTTTTTTACCTTAATAATCAATTTTTCCACTACCGTTTACATCTATTCTTTTAAAAATTGTATTCACTTCTTTTAATGCCCTATCTGGAGGTAAAGTTTCTGAATAAACTTTAAGAAGCTCATCTTTTGTTAATTATCCATCTTTATTGAGATCAAATTTTTAGAATTCATCCATTAACTTTTTTTTATCTTAATCTGACATCATATTTTCTGCTATATACATTAACATTGCAGCTTATAATTAAGAAGATATCTAATAAATATTTAATATTACTTTGAATTCTTTCATATGTTTTTATAATTATTTATTAGGTTTGTACATAATTCTAATTTTATTCATAAAAATTGGATTATTAAGTACTTCTTGTGCTGTTGGTCTACGTTATGGATTGGCATTTAACATTTTCATTAATAACTATTTCATTTAAGGATTTAAATTAGCACATTCATTACTATCAAAATTTGGTACACCTCGTAGAATACAATTTTTCAATGATTGATAATTATTGGCATAAAATGGCATATGAGAAGTTATTATGAAATATAAGAGACAGCCACAAGAATAAATATCAGATTTAAATGTTGATTATCCTTTAATTGCTTCTGGTGATTTCAAAGATAATTCCTACATAGTATTTTTAGGTTTCCATGAAGAAAATTCTTATTTTAATGAATTTGATATTCCAAAATCAATTAATTTTATACTTTCTAAATTTTTATTGGTAAAAACAATATGTTCTAAGCGAATATCACTAATTTCATATCTAACTATACCCATGTATCACTCCATTATCATGTAAGTATTATACTCCAGCCATAATCTAACAAAATATATCAATCTATTAGTATTATTGCAATTAACTAAATTTATCCAGTTATGCTAAAAGATTTCCTCCATCAACGTATTCTCCTATTATACTTAACCTACCATCATAATAATAATAGGCTAAAGTATTTTGAACATATAAATGTTTCTAATTTATAAGCAATTCTATACCAAAGATATCAACAGATTAATAGTCTCTTGCAATTGTTATTTTTTTTCTATACTTGCATTTGTACAATTATATGTCCTTATTATTCTTGATTAACTATTACTTTTTGAGATTCCTTTTCTAATATAACTTCGAAGTGCTAATTGTGATATAATATAATATTATTTACTTGCAAGTGGATCTAACTTATGTAGAATATAGTCAGCATCTACTGACTCAGTTTTCTAAATTATTGTTAATCCCATAGAAACCTAAGTTGAAATAGGACCGTTTTATTTTGAATTATTATCTTTCAATTATTTATTGTCTGACTTTAATTAACTGCATCCCATCTTTTAATTTTAGATTAGTAAATAAACAATGAAATTTAATTAAATTATGGATTGTCTTAATGAAGAATAAGAAAAATAATAATATTAAAATATTATAATGTTAACAATTAATTCAGATGATAAGGGAACATATTATATAAAAACTTAATAAGAGATTGAACTTGTGAAAAAACAACTATAAAAGCTAAAACCCAACTGTATTTCTAATTAACATAATGAATAGCTTAAACATCATCATTTCTATAAAATTAATATAACTAATTAAGTGATTAGTTAAAAACTCTTGAAGACAAATTGTCAAATGTTAATTAAGCATTTTATGATTAATTAATCAGCAATTTTGATAACACTGTCCAAAAATTACCTAATGTTAATGATAGTATGCAATGAATAAATTAGGAAATCTCTAACCATAATTTTATACTCACTCTCAAAATAACATGTATCAACAATCAGTTTAATTGCCATTCATTGATCAATTTCTAAATGTACGAACACTTCCTTAAGTGAGGTATAAAAATGATATAATTTTAATTAAGTGTAGAACCACTAGGTAAATCAACATTAAAACCAAAAGGTTTACATAGTGTAAAAAGTTCTATTCAATGTAAGTAAATATTTAAAGATGATTTAATTTAGTTAGTAGAAAGTTTTAATCAAAAAAATAGTCTTAATAATAATTACCTAAAGTAGATGATCTAACTCTGTATAAAAAAGGAATTACTGAACTCATCAATCAAGGAACTATCAAAAAGTAAGATATCAATTCTTTATTAAATCCAAACAATATTGCTTTTAAAAATTAATAAGCAAAGTAAATCATATAAAGATATTTTATAGCCTTTTTGAATACTCTGATCAATTCGGAAGTAAAATAGTATAAATTGAAAGTTAATCCTTTTAAAATATATATAAAACAGATTTAAAAAAAGATGTTGTATAAAAAAATACATAAAGTTAAGGAAACATATAAATTAAAGATAATAAAGTGAATTTCAATGAAAAAAAAATGAGTATATAAAGTAAATCAAAACAAAAATATGTGGATGCAAAAGAAGCAACTTCTTTATCAAAAGAACATGAGAGACCTATTACAGAATAATTATAAAATTTAAGTACTCAATAAGAATATATGATTTATGTGAAAAATGGATTATTACAAACAGATCAATTATAATATATTCAATTTTAAAATAGATATTATGAAAATTGGAGCAAGATTGAGCCAATTTTAATAAGTTTATAAAAAATAGCATAATCAACTTCAGTTAAGGATTGTAGAATACTTGGTTCAAAAGTCTAGAAATTATCTTAAGAATTTGACAGAAGTTAAGTATTTACAATGTCAGATTTAATATAATGTTTTGAGAATTGGGAAGAGTTATAAAAAATATTGAAGGTTCCAACATTATTATATAAATAAAAGGATGGGAAAATTATGGCAGCAACAAAAATATCTGCTTTGTTTAGAGGATTTAAAGCAAGAAAAAATTATTAAAGATTAAAAGTTATGGTAGAAAAAGTAATTATTATTCAAAGATCTATCAGAGTTTCATTATTCAGAAAAAAAGTTTAGAAATAGATTATAAAAAATAATAATTTAATGTTGGAGAGATTTAAAAATAGATAGAATGTATTTAAAGAGGAATGGCCATATCTTAAATTATAATAAAGATTTGAAATTCATTTGAATTCATTTTCTTTTGAAGAAATCAAAAGATTATCTATGGATAAATTTCCTTAAAGATAGAATACTTAAATTACAAGAATATTTAATTTATAAGATCCTCTTGTGCATATAATATATATAGCCCCATATGATCTACCTAGTGAACTGATTGATTACTTTTATAAGATTCTAAATCTTGGAGATATTTCAGATTGTAAAAATCGATTATATTTTGTTTGGCCAGTATTAAAATAAATTATCTTAGGAAAATCACAATATTTTCAATAATCATATGGGATTATCTCAATTACTTTATTATTCACCTAGAGCATTAAAGAGAATCAAATCATTAATAAGAGGATAATCAGCATATATTGTACCTGGTGTTTGTTCTAATGATGATATTAAGATATCAGATATATTAAACATTCCTATATTCTCAGGAATTCCATAATTGCATCAATACTATTCAACAAAATCAGGTTGTAAAGTGTTATTTGATGAATTATAAATGCCTTAACCTCCAACTATACGTAATATTTACGATGAAAAAGAATTAATAAATTCTTTATCAGTTTTAATAATTAAAAATCCAAATATAAATACATGGATTATTAAGGTAGATGATGAATAATAAGGAAGAGGTATAGCATGGTTAGAAGTCTAGAAAATGATTAAAAATTTATAACCATTAGAAATCAATTAGTTAGCATAATTATTAACAAAGAAAATTAAGAAGAAACTTCATTATGCATTTCCTCATTTATATGGTGGATATCATGAATTTATAATGTGTATAGTTAATCGAGGAGGAATCATTGAAGGATCTCCTTTAAGTAGATTATCTTAAATACATTCAATTTCATATAACTTTAAAGTGGAACCTGATGGACAAGTCTCTATTTTAGGATCATATGAAAAGATTAAAACAAATGATATTTAAACTATTGCATCTTTTAGTCCTCAAAGTTTTTTAAATATTAATCAAGAAATAGTATGTAATCAGATTGGTTAAAAATTATATAGTAAAGGTTTAATTGGATATTTTACAATAGACACAATAGGATATCAATTAGATAATAATAAGTAGGGATTTCAAGTAATTGGATTAGATTGTTTTTTGAATTAATATAGTAGTGCCTCTATATATTTTGATTTTCTAATGAGGGGCAAATTAAATTTATCTACTGGTAATTATTATGTGGAAGATACTAACAGATAAAGTAATGTTAGATATTCGGTTTATTGTCCAACAATAATGAATGAAGGTTTGGATGTATTATAATATAAGACATTCTTTTAATTATGTAGATTGGAATCAATATCATTCAATTTAGAAAAAAAGATTGGATCCACTTTCATTCTTGTGGACTCATTATAAAGTGGTGTAATAAGTTTAATGACTGTTGGCATTAATTCTCCTTAAGTTATTAAATATATGATAGATGCTATTGGATTTATACAGAAGAATGTAGGAAGAGGCACTGAATCTATTTAGATCAATACTAGGTAATGATTAATAATAGTTTAATTTAGAAGTGATAAAATCAATATGATGTCTATACATTAGAAGTTGAAGACTATGTTAAAGAAATTGGAAGGAAGTGAGTATTAAATTCAAAATAGCTAATATTTATGATTATTATTACATTAATATGAGTTCCGTTTAAAAAGAAT